GCTAGGACTTACCTAGCTATGGCACCTAACTATACCTATTCTTTCACACTGACTCGTCACTGTTTCTTCACACTGACACTTCACTTCCGCTGTTCTACATCCTCGTGTACGTTGACAACTTGGTCTTTGCCACTGCTGACACTGAGCCTCTCGCCCTGCTGAAGTCGGAGTTGCAGAAGAGACACACGTGCACAGACCTGGGTGAGCTGCACTGTTACCTTGGCTTGTAGATCACCCGGGACAGAACACGCCGCACCATCACACTGACTCAGTCACACATGGTGCAGCAGGTCCTTCAGCGCTTTGGCTTCACCTGGTCCTCGCCACAGCACAGTCCTCTGGCCACAGGTCACTTGCTTTCAGCTCCACCTTCGGACCAATCCGTAGAGCCGAGTGGTCCTTACCCAGAGCTAGTGGGCTGCCTCATGTACCAGATGAACTGCACTCGTCCTGACCTTGCGTACCCTCTTGGCCTTCTGGCTCGCTACGTGGTTCCTGGTAGGCACCGAATGGTGCACATTTATGCTGCTAAGAGGGTACTGCGCTACTTGTGCAGTACATCGGGCATGGGGCTCGTGCTTGGAGGGCGGAGCCCAGTTGTCTTCACTAGGCACTCGGACGCGTCTTGGGTTGACGACCTGGCTACGAAGCAGTCGTCACAGGGTTACACCTTTAGCCTTGGCTCTGGCTGTGTTTCTTGGCGGTCTACACGCTTGTCCTCTGTTCTCGGCTCCAGCTGTGAAGCTGAGATCTACGTCACAGCCATGGCTGCACAAGAGCTTACGCTGGCTCACCTACCTGCTGACCGACCTGGGAGAGCGTCCTCGTTCTCCTCCAGTGCTATTCGTAGACAACAAGGCCGCCATAGCCTTGTATCAGGAGAACAGACCGGAGCACAGAACGAAGCACATCGCTCTGCGTTACTTTCTCGCGCAAGAGTTGCAGCAGCGTGGTCAGCTTCGTCTTGCTCACGTGGCCATTCAGGCCAACACTGCTGATAAATTCACCAATGCACTTCCGTCTGGCGATCATTAGCGTTTTTGTGCTTTGCTAGGCCTTGTGCCCACGTTTCCTCACTTGCTGTAAACTTTGCTTGTATGGTGATCTATATATATACCTGCATGCTTGCTCTACTAGGTAGAGATCATTGTGCTGTTGTTGTTGCATATAAACCTCTGCATGTGAACTAGCCTTGTGGCCCTTCGCTTGTGCTCAATGTGTGTGGTGACGTTGTGACCCACTCTGAGCTTGCTTTGTTTCTCTTGACTGGTCTTCTGGCCTCTTGTTCTCCCCCACTTTGCCTATGGGGGTGTGTGAAACTTATCTGCTATAGGCAAAGTGGGGGAGAACAAGAGGTCACAAGACCAGTCAAGCAAAGCAAAGCAGACTCAGGGTGGATCACAACGTCACCACACATTCTGAGCACAAGCTCAAGGCCACAAGGCCAATTCACATGCAAGATCATATATAAAGCTAAACAAGCAAGTGCATGTATAGATAGATCACAGTACAAGCAAGGTCAAGAAGTGAGCAAGTGAGGCCAAGTAGGCACAAGACCCAGCATCCTACAGCAGCGCTGATGATCACAAGGTGGAAGTGCCTTGGTAAAGATATCAGCAGTGTTGGCCTGAGAGGCCACGTAAGCAAGGCGCAGCTGACCACGCTGCTGCAGCTGACCAGGAGCAATGTGCTTTGTTCTGTGCTCCAGTCTGTGCTCCCGACACAAGGCTAGCATGGCCTTGTTGTCTACATACAGAATTGGAGGAGAACGAGGCGGCTCTCCCAGGTCAGTCAGCAGGTAGGTGATCCAGCATAGCTCCCATGCAGCCATGGCCCCCGCGTAGATCTCAGCCTCACAGCTGGAGCCGAGAATAGAAGACGAGCGGGTGGACAGCCACGAAACAGAGCCGGAACCAAGGCTGAAGGTGTAACCCTGTGACGACCGCTGCGTAGCCTGGTCGTCAGCCCAAGAAGCGTCTGCATGACTTGTGAGGACCATCGAGGGTATTGCACAAGTAGCGCAACACCCTCTTCGCTGCAGCCATGTGCTCTGGTCGGTGTCTCCAAGGAGCAACATAGCGTGCCAAGATGCAAAGAGGGTATGCAAGGTCAGGTCGAGTGTAGGTCATCAGGTACATGAGGCAGCCACCAAGCTCTGGGTACGGGCCACTCGGCTCTACGAACTCATCCGAAGGCAGAGCTGAGAGCGAGTGGCGAGTAGACAGAGGAGTGGCCTGAGGCGAGGAGTACGTGAAGTCGAAGCGCTGAAGGACCGGCTGCACCATGTGTGACTGAGTCAGGGTAATGGTGCGCTGTGCTCTGTCCCGGGTGATCTGCAAGCCAAGGTAGCTGCGCAGTTCACCCAGGTGTTTTAAAAGAGATGGGATTCAAGATCAGCAGCCGTGATGAGAGCCTCTTTCTCAAGGGGGAGGGGGAGAAGCTGGTGCTGTTTCTGGTCTACGTGGACAACATTCTTCTCTTTAGCAGCAGCATGAAGGAGTTCATAATGCGCAGCAGCAACTGATGGAGAACTTAAAGTGCAAAAACCTTGGGGAGGTAAAGTACTACCTCGGGATGCACATGGAGAGGGTGTGAAAGAAAGAACGAGAATGACTATGAACGAAGTGAGTACAAATTGGAAACCTTAATTGTGTTGTACCCCCTATGGGATACCCCACTATGGCCTACAAAAATAAGAAAGCTATAATGTTCTGACACACCCCCATAGGCAAAGTGGGGGAGAACAAGGGGTCACAAGACCAGTCAAGCAAAGCAAAGCAAAGCTCAGGGTGGATCACAAAGTCACCACACATTCCGAGCACAAGTTCAAAGGCCAGAAGGCCAGTTCACATGCAAGATCATATATAGAGATATACAAGAGTCAAGCAAGCAAGAGCAGGAATATATATAGGTGAAGGTACAAGCAAGGTCAAGAAGTGAGCAAGTGAGGCAAGACTGGCACAAGACCCAGCTGCGTGCAGCAACGCTGATGATCACAAGGCGCAAGTGCCTTGGTGAAGACATCAGCATTGTTGGCCTTAGAGGCCACGTACGCAAGTCGCAACTGTCCACGCTGCTGTAGCTCACGAGCAAGAAAGTAGCGGAGAGCAATGTGCTTTGTCCTGTGCTCCAGTCGCTGCTCTCGACACAAGGCCAGCATGGCCTTGTTGTCTACGTACAGGACTGGAGGAGAACGAGGCGGCTCTCCAAGGTCGGTCAGCAGGTAGGTGAGCCAGCGTAACTCCTGTGCAGCCATAGCCCCGGCGTAGATCTCAGCCTCACAACTGGAGCCGAGAACAGAAGACGAGCGGGTAGCCCGCCACGAAACAGAGCCAGAACCAAGGATGAAGGGGTAACCCTGTGACAACCGCTGCGTAGCCTGGTCGTCAGCCCAAGAAGCGTCCGCGTGCCCAGTGAGGACCACTGGACTGCGCCCTCCAAGCTCTAGCCCCATGCCCGACGTACTGCACAAGTAGCGCAACACCCTCTTCGATGCAGCCATGTGCTCTGGTCGGTGTCTCCCAGGAGCAACATAGCGTGCAAGAATGCTAAGAGGGTATGCAAGGTCAGGTCGTGTGCAGGTCATCAGGTACATGAGGCAGCCAACAAGCTCTGGGTACGAGCCACTCGACTCTACGGACTCATCCGAAGGCAGAGCTGAGAGCGAGTGGCGAGTAGGCAGAGGAGTGGCCTGAGGCGAGGAGTACTTGAAGCGGAAGCGCTAAAGGACCTGCTGCACCATGTGTGACTGAGTCAGGGTAATGGTGCCGCGTGCTCTGTCCCGGGTGATCTGCAAGCCAAGGTAGCTGCGCAGTTCACCCAAGTCAGTGCACGTGTGTCTCTTCTGCAGCTCGGACTTCACGTAGGCGAGTCCAGCAGTGTCAGCTGTGGCAAAGACCAAGTCGTCGACGTACAGGAGGATGTAGAACGGCGGCAGTGAGGGGTCAGTGCGCAGAAACAGCGACGGGTCGGCAGTAGAAGGAGCAAACCCGAGTGCCGCCAGCGTAGTCCTCAGTGTGTCGTGCCACTCACGTGGCGCCTGGCCGAGACCGTAGACTGGACGCCGAAGACTCCACTGGGTACCAGGAGGGAAAGACCCAGTGAAGCCAGGTGGGCGACGCAGCCAGATCTCCTCGTGCAGGCTGCCCTGCAAGAAAGTAGTGCTGAAGTCGAGAGAGTGCAGCTCGTAGTCATGGTGCGCCTTGAAGACAGGCGGAGAACCCGGCGGCCGCTTCACCCTGAAGATCCACATGCCACTTACTATGTTCGCCACAGGAGGTGGAACAGCGTCAACGTAGGTGCTTGTGGACTTCCAGGAAGCCATCTCTGCATCCATAGCTGCCTGCCACTGAGAGGAGTAAGGACCCTCTATCGCCTCCGCGTAAGAGCGCGGAGTCGGGATGTCTAGTGCATCCGGGTCTCCCTCAGGGGCGAGCAGTACAGACGCGAGATGAGGTGAAGCGGCGGCCAGACACTGCAACTCCTCCTGCCTGTCCTCAAGGACGTCCGTGCCAAGGGCACACTCACCCCCGACGGACGGAGAACAGGCAGACTCAGACTCAGCGACAAGACTAGCAGCGTAGTCTAGACGACAGCGCGCAGCAAAGTCGACGAGCTCACTGACAAGGGCAGACGCAGTAGAAGACTCGAAAGAAGGGTAAGTGACAGCAGTTGCAAGAAGACGCGTGACAAAAGGATTGGCAGCACGAGAGAGTCCGACTCCGGGTCGGCAAGAGCAGGAAGAGAGGAAGCAGGAGAAGAAGGCAAAGGGGCACGTAGAGGAGCAGTGGACGGACGCAGAGACATCCGGTGCGTGCTAGGGACAAGAGGAGGACGCTGACGCAAACCGCGACCACTGGTGCGCGCAGTACGAACAGGTGACGCAGGACGAGACGCAGGCTCACGACGCTCAGTAAGACCTCCAGTCGGACCAGCGTAGGGAGAAGGAGCAGGCAAAGGGGAGGCAAGCTGTATCTGTGACTGGACAGGCTGTGGACGCTCTAAGGGAGGAGGAGGAGGACCAGGAGAAGGTGTAAGACCAAGAACCTGCTGCAGGAGGGGAACAAAGTACGGTCGAGGCCGCGTGGCGACGCCAGGAACAGCAGGGACAGCAACAGTACCTCTAGCAGGAGTACCCGCTCCAGCAGTACCTCCAGCAGCACCTCCAGCAGCTCCAGAACCCCCAGCAGCACCTCCAGTATCCCCAGAACCCCCAGCAGCCCCAGGAGCACCGCTAGCCGGACTGCTAGTGGTAGTCTCAGCGCCAACACCCTCAGCAGTACCAGTCCCAGAAGAACCCTCAGGTCCAGCAGCTCCAGTACCACCAGTACGAGCACCTCCGGGACCCGTGGCAGCAGTACCCTCCGCAGCCGAAGAACCTCCAGCACGAGCAGCACGCCTCCAGCGCCGGGCAAACCACTCACGCAGCTCCCGTGGGGAGAGTGGCTCTCGGCGAGACGAAGCACCTCCAGGCGGAGCACCCTCAATCTCAGCACCCCCAGGCTCAGCACCCCTAGGCTCAGTATCCCCAGGCTCAGTACCCCCAGGCTCAGCACCCCTAGGCTCAGCACCCCCAGACTCTGTACCCCCAGGCTCAGCACCCCCAGGCTCAGCACCCCCAGGCTCAACACCCCCAGGCTCAGCACCTCCAGTCCCAGCACCCCCTGGCTCAGCACCCGCAGCAGCACCAGAGTCACCAGTGACCTCAACAGGCTCGACCGCGTCTACCTGGGACACACCTGAAGGGGCAGGACCCTGAGGGGGGAGGGGGTCTACCGGGGGGGGACCTGGTACCAAGAAGAGCGGGGGCGGGGGAAGGGACGGAGTGCGGTAGGGGAAGAGGCGGTAGTAGGGTACCGACTCGTCGAACGTGACGTCCTGGGAGGACAGAACACGTCGAGAGGTGGGGTGGTAGAACTGCCACCCAGGGGCGTCGGGGGGGAACCCCAGGAAGACGCAGGGAGCAGCGCGAGGAGACAGCTTGCTACTTCTGATTCTCCTCCAGTTGCTAAGTCTAGTCAGGTAGCTGCGTCGAGTCAGGTGTTTGCTGCAGCGTCCAGGTCTGGTTCTGAGTCTGCTCCCTGCTCGTGTCATCTCCTGTCCTACCAGACTCTCCTTAGGCACCACCGCCTTGGTCACCCCTCCCTGCCTCGTCTCCGAGGCATGGCCTCCCGTGTCCTTGTCTCTGGTCTCCCCCGGTCCCTCCCTCCCCTCCCTCCGGGGCCTGCCCCTACTTGCGTTCCCTGTGTCGAGGGGCGGCAGCGCGCCGCCCGTCACTCCCCCGAGTTTCCTCCGACAGAGGCTCCCCTGCAGACTCTTCACATGGACGTGTGGGGCCCCGCCTGCGTCCGTGGCCAGGGTCACGAGCGTTACTTCCTGTTGGTGGTTGATGACTACTCGCGTTACACCACGGTGTTACTACTTCCGCAGCAAGGGTGACTTTACTGAGGTGTTGATCGACAGGATCCGCGCAGCTCTTCTCCAGCTCAGACAGAGATTGGGCTCGGACTTTCTGTTCTGCGTCTGCACTCTGACAAAGGCGGGGAGTTTTCCTCTACCCGTCTGGGAGCCTTCTGTCGTGCACAGGGCATCCGCTAGACGTTCACGCTTCCGGCCTCTCCATAGCAAAATGGGATTGCTGAGCGCCGCATTGGCTTCGTCATGGACGTTGCTCGTACGTTCATGATCCATGCGGCTGCTCCCCATTTTCTGTGGCCGTTTGCGGTTTAGTATGCAGCACATCAGCTCAACCTTCAGACTCGGGTCTCCTTGCCAGAGACCTCCCCCACTTTGTGGTGGACGGGGAAGGTTGGCGATGCGTCTGCGTTTCAGGTCAGGGGATCTCGGGCGTTTGTCTGCGAATTGTCTGCGAACAAGCTGTCCCCCCCGTGCTGTTCCTTGCGACTTCATTGGCTCCCCCCCTGACGCGCTTGGTTGGCAGTTTTACCACCCCACCTCGCGCCATGTTCTGTCCTCCCAGGACGTCACCTTTGACTAGTCGGTGCCTTACTACCGTCTCTTCCCCTACCGCACTGCGCCCCTCCCCCCGCCGCCGCTCTGCCCCCGCCGCAAGGTCCTCTTCCGGTAGACCCTCTCCCCCCTCAAGGTTCTGCCCCGTCAGTTGTGTTCCACGGAGACGCAGTCGAGCCTGTCGAGGTAGCTGTTGACTCTGGTCCTGCTAGGGGCGCTAAGCCTGCGGGTGCCGGGTCTGGGAGTGCTGAGTCAGGGGGTGCGGAGCCTGCGGGTGCTGAGTCTAGGGGTGCTGAGCCTGGGGGTGCTGAGGCTGGGGGTGCGGAGCCTGGGGGTGCTGAGCCTGGGGGTACGGAGCCTGGGGATGCGGAGCGTGCGGGTGCTGGGTCTGCTCGTGTGGCCTTTGGCGGTGCTTCGTCAAGGCGGGAGCTACTCTCTCCGCAGGAGCTGCGCGAGTGGTTCACCCGGCGCTGGAGCCGTGCTACTGGAGTTAGTCCTGCTTGAGGTACTGCTAGAGCTGCTGGCGGTCCTGAAGCGGACGGTCCTGCTGGAGTTGGTGCTGCTGGAGCTGGAGCTGCTGGGGGTGTTGGCGCTGGTGGTGCTGCTGGCACTGGTGCTTCTAAGGGTGCTCTAGTTGGCGCTGTTGGAGCTGGAGGTGCTGCTAGCGCTTGTGCTGCCGCTGGGGGCATTGGTGCTGTCCCTGCTGGTTTTGGAGGCACAACGCGGCAGCGGCCGTACTTCGTTCCGCTCCTTGAGCAGGTTCTTGGTCTCCCGCCCTCTACGGGTCCTGCTCTTCCCTTAGAGTCTCTACAGCCTGTCCAGTCGCGGTCACAGTTACAGCCCGCCTCCCCCCTACATGCTATTTCTCCCTACACTGGTCCTACTGGAGGTCTTGCTGACAGTCGTGAGCCTGAGTCTCGTCCTGCGTTGCGTGTTTGTGCTGCTCGCACTAGTAGTCGTGCTCTGTGTCCGCGTCCTCCTGCAGTCCCAGGCACACACCAGATGGCACTGTGTCCTTCCACTGCTCCTCTGCGTGTCCCGTTGCCGTCTCCTCCAGAGTCCTTGCTTCCTGCTCTTGCTGACCCGGAGTCTGACTCTCTTCGTGCTACCAGTCCTACTGTCTTGCGTCTCCTGGCCACTCTTGTTACTGACCCTTCCTTTGAGTCCAGTGCTGTGTCTGCCTTAGTTGCTGAGCTTGTCGACTTTGCTGCTCGCTGTCATCTAGACTACGCCACTAGTCTCGTTGGTGAGTCTGAGTCTGTCTGTCCTCCGTCGGTCAAGGGTGAGTGTGCTCTTAGCACGGACGTCCTTGAGGACAGGCAGGAGGAGTTCTAGTGTTTTGCTGCTGCTTTGCCTCATCTCGTGTCCACGCTGATTGCCCCTGCGGGAGACCCGGATGCACCAGACATCCCGACTCCTCGATCGTACGCTGAGGCGATCAAGGGTCCCTACTCCTCTGCTGACACTGCTAGCCTCGCCTACGTGAAGTCTGAGCTACAGAAGAGACACACGTGCACAGAGCACAGTGCACCATTACCTTGACGTGAACTGCGCAGCTACCTTGGCTTGCAGATCACCCGGGACAGAGCACAGTGCACCATTACCCTGACTCACTCACACATGGTGCAGTAGGTCCTTCAGCGCTTCGACTTCACGTACTCATCGCCTCAGGCCACTCCTCTGTCTACTCGCCACTCCCTCTCAGCTCTGCCTTCGGATGAGTCCGTAGAGCCGAGTGGCCCGTACCGAGAGCTTCTTGGCTGCCTCATGTACCTGATGACCTGCACTCGACCTGACCTTGCATACCCTCTTAAACATTCTCGCACGCTATGTTGCGCTACTTGTGCAGTACGTCGGGCATGGGGCTAGTGCTTGGAGGGCGATGTCGAGTGGTCCTCATAGGTCACGCAGACGCTTCTTTGGCTGATGACCAGGCTACGCAGCGGTCGTCACAGGGTTACACCTTCAGCCTTGGTTCCGGCTCTGTTTCGTGGCGGTCTATCCGTTCGTCTTCTGTTCTCGGCTCCAGTTGTGAGGCTGAGATCTTCGCGGGGGCCATGGCTGCACAGGAGCTACGCTGGCCCACCTACCTGCTGACTGACCTAGGAGAGCTGCCTCGTTCTCCTCCATTTTTGTACGTAAACAACAAGGCCATGCTGGCCTTGTGTCGGGAGCACAGACTGGAGCACAGAACGAATCACATTGCTCTTCGCTACTTCCTTGCTCATGAGCTGCAGCAGCATGGCCAGCTGCGCCTTGCTTACGTGGCCTCTGAGGCCAACACTGCCGATATATTTACCAAGGCACTTCCCCCTTGTGATCATCAGCGCTTCTGTACGATGCTAGGTCTTGTGCCTACTTGGCCTCACTTGCTCACTTCTTGACCTTGCTTGTACTGTGATCTTTCTATACCTGCACTTGCTTGTTTACCTTTATGGATGATCTTGCATGTGAACTAGCCTTGTGGCCTTGAACTTGTGCTCGGAATGTGTGGTGACGTTGTGATCCACCCTGAGCTTGCTTTGCTTTGCTTGACTGGTCTTTTGACCTCTTTGTTCTCTCCCACTTTGCCTATGGGGGTGTGTCAAACTTATATGCTATGGTCTATATAGGCTGTAGTGGGGTAGACACTATAGGGTACCACAATTCTAGGTTTCCTACTTGTACCCACATTCTCCTTAGTCATTCCCATTCCTCAATTCTCACAGACCTTGCTTGTACTATGATCTATTTATACCTGCACTTGCTTGTTTACCTTTATATATATTCCTGTATGTGAACTGGCCTTGTGGCCTTGAACCTATGCTCGGACTGTGTGGTGACGTTGTGATCCACCCTGAGCTTGCTTTGTTTATCTTTGCTTGACTGGCCTTGTGACCCCTAGTTCTCCCCCCACTTTGCCTATGAGGGTGTGTCAGATATATATGACTTTGCGTGTGTAGGCCGTATTGGGGTAGACTCTAAGGGGTACAGGTTTCTAGGGTTTCACATTTGTATCCAACTGTTTCCTAGTTCATTCATTCCTCGTTCTTTCACACTAGTGTACGTACGATATTTAGATTATTGTTGGTACTATGCGTTACTTACCTAGATGAATGGTACTAAGAGTAAGTGCATTACTGTTGCTACTAAGTATAAGTGTGTACCGACCCTTTCAGTTGGTACTAAAGTGTAGGTGTGATACTTACACATATATTTGATACTAAGTATAAGTGTGTTAAATACCTTTCTACTATGTACTGTATCTAAGTAGGTTATTTACCCTTTTGGTTGGTACTATGTGTAAGAGCGTTATTTACCTTTTAGTTGGCTGAAAGCGTATGTGTGTTACTGAACCTTTTAATTGGTACTAAGAATAAGGTGCTTTTCTTATCCTTATAGTCGGTACCAAGTGTACGTGTGTAACTTACCCAATTTTTTGGTACTAATAATACGTATGTTGCTTACCCTTGTAGTTGGTAATGGAGTGATAACTACCACAACAAGAGCTAGACTACGGGCTAGGCACGGGTGCTCATGTGATATTTGCGTTCGTTCACAAGTCGTTTCCTAGTGCACACACTGCTTGCTAGTTCACAGGGAAATTTGGCCTGAGGAAAGAGCCTTGCAAAATTATAGAGCCTTGTCGGTGACTAAGGGTTCCAAAAGCGAGTTTTTTAAGGATAGGTTAGAATTTTTGGGGCTTGTTTTTTCAGAGGCTGGAGCTGAGATCGACCGAAAGAAGCTGGACATGGTAAAAGCTTGGCACCCCCTGACAAATATCACCGAGCTACAGAGTTTTTTAGGGTTCGTTAATTATGTGCGTCCGTTTGTCCCCGTCATGGCATGGTTAACAGCCCCACTAACGGATTTGCTGCGGGAGGGGGTTGCTTTTACGTGGGGGGGACGGGGGGGGGGGGGGGGGGAATGACATGCTGGCTTTTCTGCCCTAAAAGATTTTCTTTGTTCACCACCCGTACTGCACAATGCCCACCCACACCGCCCATTCACGCACAACCACACCTCAATCAACGACAGGTTCGCCAACTCTATTTCTTCGAGTCAAACTTCCACTATAACGGTCACCTACAAAAGGGGGCATCAAACATCACCGATGCACTGACCCACCGCACTGCCCAAATCCATGCTATACTACTCACCCAGACCAGCCCACTGCTCACGGGACTATTTACCCACGACTCATCCTTCACCGGAGGAAACTCGCAGCAGTTCGTAGCAGCAAAGGGGGTTTATTATGTAAAAGCAGGCACCGATCGCATCTGGGCTCCGGGCTACACTTTACTAAGGGAGCTGTTACTACAGGAGGCACACGATGGGGTTACCTCAGGCCATTTCGTAGTAGAAAAAGCATGGCAGCTGCAAAATTGAAGAGCCTTGTTGGTTCATACCGGTGCCGACGGAGTGACCTGCTAGGTGCTCATGTACGTCGATGACGTGTTCGCTGCCAGTAGCAGCACCGCAATTTTGAAGGAGCTGCAAGAGGCTGCCTTCGAGCTTTGCAAGATCCATCCGGTCGTGAAGTACCTCGTGCTACAGGCCGGCAAGGATGTTGTGGCTGCACCATAAGGGCTATGCCATCAAGCTGCGCAGGTACTTCATCGATGAGGAGCAGGGCGATTGAGTCCCGAAGACGCCAGTATCCGTCAATGCCTACAAAGAGCTGACATCTGACAACGAGGAAGCCCATGAGCGCGAGGAGGAGGAGTACCAGCAGAAGGTCG